TAATTTAACGGGGAGAACTTTACATGTACTTAAACCTCGTTCAAGGTTCCTGCTACACCAAAATCTCAGTTTTTTTCCAGCATGAATTTAGTCATTCATTGGGCTTTGTGTATTGTACTTCTAGTGGTTCCCTTCAGATGCAATTCAAAAATTCGAGTTCCACCAGAGTTGCTTTTACACATAATTCTTTGTGACTCCTGCTACGAACGAAAATTAGGACAAGTGAAAAGACCAATATAACTTGAGGCTTTTGTTGTATTTTTGTTTTCCAAAATTCATCTCTTTCTAAATTCTAGCCACATCTCTTCAACAAAATGGTTTCCTCTAGCGGAAAGATTCTGATTCTGATGATGGACCTTTGACCTTTATTATAAAACCTAACAATCTCATATCTGTCTCTAAAACAAACATACTTACCATCTGAACACATTCCATAAGTGGCAGTCGAACAGCCTGGTTGCCAACCAGAGACACGACGCAGGCCGGGGTGTTTGCAGATGCTTCCAGTAATGCTAGCACGGCCTCCACACCCATGCGGCTTGCCTGCAAAGATTAAAGTTCATTCAGAGGGAAGTAATGAGCACAGAACTTTTTTTTTTTTTTGACTTTCACCAATCCATGATATGAGTCTTATTTATTGATTGCTATTTACCAGGATTCTGTCAAACGCTGAGGGTGTTCCACCTCTCTGCACATGGCCCAAGATAGTAACCCTGGTGTCGAAACCCAGGCGGCACACTACCAGCTGGTTTTGAATAGTAAACATGAATTATTAGTTGGGATAAAGGGCTTAAAAATATATGCCATTCCAGTTAAATACAATATATCTATAAAAAACATTTAGGGTTTCACTTTAAAAAATTCCAAATTTCTAAAGAATGTAATCATATTTCTACTAAATATGTAGTGTCAATGTAATAATTATATAAAGCAAGATTATATAGTATCTTAAAAATAAACAAGAACATTCATAGGAACATACAATAACAAGAAAAGACGTGCCAAAAGAAAAAAAATAAGAAGGAGAAATCATGCAAAACATCTCCTGTCATGTAATACACATGCAAAGTGAACAGGCATAAAGCAAAATAAAGGGTGCAAAGAGAACCGTACAGCTCATCCATAAATGGTTCATAAATGGATATATGAACATGCCAAATGAAATGTGTAAAAAAGAACGAAATACAACAGCATACAGGACACGAAATGGTGTGCTCCCATGGTGAAGGAAACCAACATCCAAACCACGAAAGACAGTGGCCCATGCTTCTGAGGGAGAATTTGTGGCTCCGTGTATCGGCCAGGCTTCGTGACCGTACTTACATCCTTGATATAATCAGGGGTTATTGATTTGTTGTGGCGATCTATGGCACCCTCGGCTACAATAATAATGTTCAGCCTTTTCTTATCAGCACGATTCTAGAGGGATATAAACAAGCAAAGGCAGTTTAAAACATGACAGAAAATGTTTTGCATTGCCAAAAGCTGGAACCAGTAACGTAGGATAAGTCTGAGCGCTAATTACTGAGAGACCTTTGCGTTTCCAAAGAGCACCATGTTTAAAAGGTTGCCCTTCATCAGCAGACGTTTGCCACAATTTGGGAGAAGCTTCATATGTGAAGTTAACTGGTCGTGAAAAGCAGTGTGCTGTAGAGACACATCAATAATTTACTTATACTATTGCTGTTAGCCAGCAGGGTTAGTTTAAAGTTGACTGCAGAACCTTATTTTATTTACAGCTCAGTTTACATGCAGTGTTCACATATTTGGTCCTTTCTCATAAAACATTTCTAAAAGACAATTTTGAATTTGTTGAAAACTTTAAATTTAGAAATTTCTTTTTGTTTGGTAGTCTTTCTCTTTGCCCTCTGCTGTAATTTGGCTGAAATATACATTCAGTGCCATCAACAGTCAATCAGCTGATCTACAGGGTACACTTTATAACACCATATTTCCCTTTTATTTAAAAACTTTTAAAGACATCAGATCATTTTAAACTGTATTTATTCTTTTTAAACTGTATTGCTTTTTGCACTGCAGAGGCTGGTGAGAAACAGTATTTCGTTTCAGGCTGGGTAACACAATACGAAATGACAATAAACTTCTTGAGTTTTGAGTCATTCCATATCAGTGTCTACTGAGCTAAAGAAACCATGACACCGAAACATGAATGTCTATAATATCACAATGAAACCTTTCCTATGTGTGTGGCATGTGGCAAATGTTTGGATTCAAAACAGAAAGGTTGCTCTGCCGTAGCTCTTCATTTTCATGTTTATATCCACCAGCTGGTCCAGCTTCTGGTTCCCCTCTGTGTCAGTCTGAAACACAGCTCTACTCACATCCTTTACAAAATCAGAGGTAATGTGTTGTCCTTGTCGGTCAGTTGCGCCTTCAGCAACTATGATAATGTTCAACCTGGAACCTCGAGATCGAATCTGGACAATAACAAGAATACTAATCATATGAGACTGACTGGAAAATAAAAAAACAAAACAATGTTCTTCAGGTCTTCAAATGGTCTGTGATAAACATTAGAATAGTCTTGTGTTTATGTGGTGGCCACATTGGACTGGCAAAGAGTCAAGATGTAATCGAAAGCTTGTGGGGTTGACGGCCACAAGAGTCAGGTTCTTCTCTCAAACTTTTCTACCATATAACTTTCTTAACTAACTGCCATTACGAAACCCAATTTCCTGCGCTACTATTGTTAATGTATGAACAGACTTGAACTGAAGGCAACAGTGACTCAGACAGGCTCTGTGGTGCAATGGATAGCGCATTGGCTTTCTAGCGGCTCATGTCAGATGCAATTCACAGGGTGTGGGTTCAAATCCCACCAGAGTCACTTTATTAAAGTGTGTAGAGAAACTTTGTTATAGACCAAGTGCTGCTACATCTTAGCTACTGGCCAGTGTGATTTTAGTCATCCCAGCACGAAGCATCTTGATCTACTGGGACTGTGTAACCACCAAACTGGTTAGTTATTCAGGTTCACTAAACACAGAATGAACTTTAATGGTAGTCTTTCATGTGTTGCCAGTTGGCAGTTGAGCTCTAATTCAAAGTTTGTAGGTCTGAGTCCCATCAGAGGTTGCCATTCAAGGGCCTGATTTTCTCCAATTCTCCTGCCATTTAATTTTCAGTCATAACTGCTTTTATGGACTCTAATTTCCAGCTTGAAATTAAATTGAAGTTTACTTATAGGAAGGTTTAAGATTACAATCGAATGATTTGGAGATTCTGGGTTGCGTTTTGCAGGTTTGCTTACTGACCCAACACCCAGCATTCAACAGGCTTTGTGGCGCAATGGATAGCGCTTTGGACTTCTAGTGATTTCCTTCAGATGTAATTTAAAGCTTGTGGGTTCAAGTGCCAACAGAGTCACTGTATTACAGGGGAAAACTATAAAGATTCCTGTTATACAAAAAATCTCACAGGAAACATTAAACTTTCTACTTTTAGATGCTTAAAATTAAATCCATGAAAAGGCAGCATGTGAGTCAAGCTGAAACGTGTAGAAATAGAAGCCCTTGTGGCACAACTAATAGTTAAACGGTTCAAATGTGAGTTCGATTTTATAGTGAAAGTCGAATTTGAGGGACTCCTGCTTTACTGTGGATAGCTGGGGAAGTTTAAAGATATCTGCTTCCACACACAAGTCACAATTCTGTGGCAAAGACTGGACGAAAACTGGAGTATGGTACCCTCAGAGCATTGTGAGAAACTGGTAAAATTCTGTGGGTGCAGATGTCCTGACGTACATCAAAGCAAGCACTTCTACACATTATACTAAATTCTGACAGCTATAAACTTCCATTATGTCATTTATAAGTTTCTTTATTGTGACAGGGATTACTGTTCTCACTTTTTACACTGTATTTTCAATTTGCTTAATTATTCTAACATATTTTCTGTCATGTAAATCTTTATTAGAAACTTGCTTAGCTAAATGACTTCTGTTATATGTCCCTAGCCAAAGACAGAAAACGATCCACTCTAATTAAAACATAAGCTACTACAGTGGAAACAGTGTGTGTGTGTGTGTGTGTGTGTGTGTGTGTGTGTGTGTGTGTGTGTGTGTTTGTCACCTCAGACAGTTTCTGACACATGTTGTCTTCCCATCCATCTTCAGGAGGCATTTCTGGGATAAAAACCCAGTCTGCTCCACATGCCAGGGCGCTGACCAGGGCCAGATATCTGCACACATACACAATTTATAAAATCATACATTTCAGCTCTCACTAAAGACAGTTCTTTTAGTCTCTTGCTACACAGAAATCGCACCAAAGCCAGAATGCACTCCACTCACTACCCTTATCAGTAGGCCCAATCAGCAGGCTCTGTGGCGTAATGGACAGCGCTTTGGACTTCTAGTCAACCACGTGCGATGCAATTCAAAGGTTGTGGGTTCAATTCCCACCAGAGTTGCTTTTTCGCCTGCTGTCAATGCTAAATTTTCTGGACCATGGTATCGCACCTTTGCAATGTCATACAATATATCTGCATAAAATACTGCTTTGACATTTTAGCTGGAGTCTGACTCACTTGTCGGTATTTGAACATTCCACATTTATCATTTGACATTTTCAAAGTCTTAAATATGCTTTCTAAAGAATTTGATTACATACTTGAAAAAGGTTAAGCATATGATTTTGTGGCCACTAAGACTAAGTGGATGTCACGCAATATTATGTATATGGGTGTGTGGAATAAAAGATGCCTACCCGCAGTGTCTCCCCATGACCTCCAGGACAAACGTCCTCTGGTGGCTATAAAAAAAAACAGAAATAATGTCAAAAACAAACAAAAAAAGAGCATTTATGCTGAAACTCAGTGGGTTGATCTAAATTTGTTCAGTAGAGGGGGAACAACCTTTACCTTACACTGAAGCATATAAAAAAAAACACAGTTTATATCTTTTCTATTAAGACCTCTCTCAGAAATTGTTCACCTCTGGGCAGTGGTCATGATGGCGTCCACCACCTCAATGATCCGATGCAGGGCCGAGTCGGTGCCAATGGTCATGTCAGTGCCGCAGAAGTCGTTGTCGATGGAGCCAACCATACCGACGATGTGGAGCTCGGAGTTTCTCTGGGTCGCTTCCCCATCGATCAAACCTAAACAAAAAAACAAGGAGGGAGAAAGTTTCCCTTTACACTTGTAAAAGCAGGGCAGCCCGGTGTTAAAGTTAAAAACAAAACCTCCTGTTGTGAGGAGTCACCTTGCTGCAGGAGCTCCTCCAACAGGCTGCTCCATTCCTCCCTGAACAGGTTGGCCCCAGTCAAGCTTCCGTCTCCACCAATCACACACAGGTTGGTGATGTCACGCTGCACAAGGTTGTGTGCAGCTTTCAGCCGGCCCTCATGGGTACGGAAATCTTTGCAGCGGGCACTCCCGATGACAGTTCCACCCTAAAGTAAACAAACATTACAATAAAAGAAAACCTGTCATGATTTTCAAGATTTTTTTAATTTTTTAAAGATTCTTTTGGCTTCTTTTTAGGACATTGTGTCCTCTTAGACTGTATTTTTTCCAGTATCGCTGACCTACAAGATCTTTTATCCCCACTGTTCACTCATCAGTGAAAAGGTCTCATTGAACTTCAGTATCATCGAGCTGCAAGCTAAAAGCATTGTCGCCTGTGTCCTTTTGAGTAAAAGTCACTCATGTCCACTATGACAACACGTACCAGCATAAGTACTATAGAGGTTTCCTTACCAAACACTTTTAATGATGCTAAAATGTCTACAGTATTTACAAAACACAGTAATTTTCTCAAAGCAGACTGAGTTTGTTTCACTGTTTACAGCCCATTAAGAAGAAATGTGCGGTGTGTGTGAGCTGAACACTGATCTGCTCACCACTTGCAGCATGCTGGAGACGCTTTCCCACTTCGCCTCTTTGATGTTGTCTCCACCGTCCACCATCCCCTGGTAACCCTGAGAAGAGCAATCAGTGTGACAGACATTCACCGGATTGTTGATAACTTGGCAAAAACTGAAAAAAGCTTTATTTTTTAACTGACAAAAGACAAATGAAGAACGGTGCGCGATATTTTTAAATTGAACCAAAACTCAATAGGAACTTGAAGACAACCCTGTGGGTCAGGTTAAGCTTTTTTAGGGAACTGCTGTGTTGTGTTCAGGGATTAAAACTGCGAGGCCATGGTCCCAAACCAAAATAAAAGCACTGTGGCACTCAGCTGTTATTACTCACAGCCCAGTGGTTATTTGAAGCTGATGGGGACATGACAGTGTAGCAAGTGAAGGATGAAGCCTGCCCTTTGTAATCCAATTATATCTACACTGAGACCAGATCACGTCTGTCTGCCCCCGTCGTTCATGGCATCATGTCCAGTTAAAAATGCACATACTGTACATCCTCAGACATTCAATATCGATGACTTTCAGAGACTCGGGAAAGAAGGAGTTACTATAGTTACTATCACTATCAAATCATTATTTCCATCGGCAGCACGTTTAAGTTCAAATGCTGTTACAGTAGGTGTGATCTGTGATAGAGCCCAAACAGTAGGCGGCACTTGTCAAAGTAATATTCACATGAATGCCAGAGGTCAAGGTTTTCCAGTAGAAAATTTATGATCCAGGTTACATGCCAGCTGGTCAGAGCACATACTGTATGCAAATCCATGCCCTTGCTTCCAGTAGGTTAAAAACACAAAACGAGCCCATAGTGGGTTCAAATTTCCATGTGGACACAGTTTTAAGTGTCAATACACTCCACTTCAATCAAATGCTCACACACAGACACTCCAAGGGCACCACTTTCATTTTAGTGTGACAAGTGTGGAGGCCAAGAAGACAAAAACAAGGTCACTACCTGTAAAGGGATTAATCTGGAGATCTTAATGACTGAAAAACAAAGGCTTAACGACCAGAGCCATAAACAATGACTGTAGTCAGCGTGGGTGATTGAAGGTAATCTTTTCAAAATAGCACCTAAACAGCATGAAGTGAGGTGTGAAATGCTTAAATCTGTTGGAACAGAACAGCTTTCACAGAACAGTTTAAGGAGACGAAAATGAAGTAGCAGGCAGCCAACACTGTGCAGTTTTTGATTTTTATGTGTACAGAGGTTTTTGCAGCTACACTTGGGTGAATTTGGGTGAACAAAATATAATTTGTTTTGCAACAACAGGCAGTAACAGCACAATGACTTGTCTGTGGCATGTTTGCGTTTCTCTTCATAAACCTGATTTGACACAATGTGATTACATCTATGCAACCCTGCAGATACGATGCATTTAACCCCAATAGAAAAATAAAACAATGAAATTCACATTTTAAGTTTTGAGACTTTGCAGCCACCTGAATGACTCCTTAAGGTCAAATTCAGTTACAAAAGCAGAGCAACATGCAGTCTTGAATCCTGCTGGCTGTATCACAGACAATCACAGCTCGATAAAAAAGACTCGTCAGTTCTAATTTAGTTCCTCGTGTGGTGTGACGACACTGCAGACTCTCCTGGGGCTATGTCTAAAGCCTGAGTCATGCCTCACCTCATGGATGAAGTAGACCTTTGCTCCCACATAGATGCCCATCCGCACGACAGCCCGGACAGCTGCATTCATACCTGGAAATAGAGGAAAAAAGAGTTTGGGGTTGATACAGAAACAAACAGTGTTTCTCACATATCATGTTTGACAGGTTGGGAAATGAACTATGTCCGTCTGCGTTAAACTGCGAGCCTACCCAGGTTCTTTTTCATGCTGACAAAGGGGTCTTAAAGATATTTTTGGTGTCAGCTAATGAAGAACCACCATGTTTATTAAAACTGCAGCGCAGCGACTAGCAGCAGTTTAACCTTTTCAGAGGACGTGGGAGACACAGAAACTGGAGGTAGAAAGTAGTTAACGTCGGTCTTATTCTAATGTGCTTTTGACATTTAAGAAATTAGATCTGTCAGTGAACTAAATAAACGATGTTTCCATAAATGTGATTGTATAAGCAGTAGCACAAACAGGGCGTGGCAAAAAGCTAGACAGACCAGCAGTTAACAGGAGCGGTAAACTTGATCGAAAAAAAGGGAGACAGGAGAGGAGACTGCAAGTGAGAGTCCCTCTGAGGATTTTGTGTCAAAACATAAAAGTGTCTGAAAGAGCACTTAGTGAAATTAGAGACAGAACAAAACATAAACCTTGAGCTAAGTCTGGTATCACAGTGAAGGTGCAGTTTTACATCACCGAAGACTCCCATAAAAGCACAATGACGAGAAATATCTGATGTGTAAAAACGCTGAGAGAAGGTACTGAAGGTGGTATTGATGTTACTTTGATTCTGTGTCGCAACCTGCATAAAGAATAAGAGCTGTAATAAAACTTTAATGATCCTAACGCTAGGTGTAATAAGAGAACCTGAAAAAAAGAAACAAGCCCTACGGCTGAAAATAACAAATACATCTTCCACTGTTTCATCTTTGAATTTTGACTTATCAGTGAACTGATTATTTACCAAATTAAAGGTAAGATAAGCTAAGATAGACTTTATTTGTCTCAGAAATGGGTAATTTACAATTATCTTATCTTATCTTAATAATAAACAGTTTTAAGTTATTCTGAAAAAGACATCCAATCAACAAGACGCTGAATCAGCTGACTCTTGGCTTTTTATGCCATTAACACGTGAAGTGGCTGAATCATTATCGTAATTGCTACTGATTATTTCTTCTTTCCATCAGCTAATCAATCAATCTAATAGGGTCAGTGCATAGCAATTAATAAAGAGCACTGAGAATATAGATGACTGGTAAAAAAGAAAAGGTCACTTTAAAAATTCAAAATAGGGATAAAGAATTAATTAGCCAATTATGGAAAAGCATTGGAATGACAAGCATGTTAGATCTCAGTGAGCCCAGTTTAGTGAGGCATTGCATGCATCCCAGAATTTAGCCCACCAAGCACAAGCTAGCACGCTCTGCCAACTTAACCACCTCGCCAAATTTCTTCCCACACCACATGGAGTAAACAACCCATCCCTTTTACTGGCCCTTGTCTGCAGAATGCGCATGGGATGGGTCTACTCCTTGGATGACTATGTCACGATTTTGGCATTACTACAAGAGCTCAATTCACTAAGCTTGGCAGAGCCAACAGGGCCATGGCAAAGGGCCAGAGCTAAACAACAAAGGCTTAGCTGGGGGAAAAAAAGTTGAACATGAACTCTTCAGGAAAGGCATTGCAATCAGTCAAATGTGTGCAATCATACATTTTTTGTAGATAACTATAAACAAAGTTTTCTGTTTACCTTGCAATGATTGCAACAGACAGAAATAATGGTTTAAGTGGCGGCCACTGCATGGGCAATCAGCTTTAGATAGAGAAGCACTGATAAACAGGCTGACATCAGCCTTGTTGACTGATATCAGGCTATTAGCAAATAAGATGACAGTGTCAGTGTCAGTGGCTAATATCGATCTCTCAAGTCACATCATTTTGTGTTTGATGAATGTTCAAATATAATTTGGTAAACAAAGCAAACTAATAAAAATAAACGTATTAATAATGTATAAAAATACTGTATCTCAAAACTATCATATGCAGGTAATTTAGACAAGGACTGTTTGTATTAATGAGGGGTTTTCAAGGGTTTCTTATGATCCAAATATTCATAAACTCACTTTTCTGTCAGTGGATGACTCAATAAATCAATAGCTGCCTGCAATTTTCTGATAAGAGACTAAAAATATCTCTTTTTTAATCTTTGTTTATGTTTCCCCCACTTCTCTTATTTATGATCATTAACTACCTCGTTTAGGTAAAAGAATGAATTAACTTGCCCATTACCAAAACTACTCCTGCTGACCTACAGGAAGTAGCAACGGCATTATAAGGCAGGTGACATCTAAGACAAATGCACTAAGGGGTGGGGGTTGGGTGGGGGAGTCACCCAACACAAAAAGAAACACAGTATGGAGGCCTGGATGTGGTTTCAGCCTGTTCAGTGTTTGCTAACGAGTGCTGACAGCACGAGCTAGTGTTGCTAAGAGACCTGCAAAGTGCTGATTGGTCAGAGGGGACCTGGCAAATGTGTGAAATTGAGCTGAATTGTGTGATACTATAATTGAGTTTTACAAAATTAGAAAGAAAAAATGAATAAGGATTTCACAGACAGATAAGAGCGATCAGCGACCGTGAGTACATCTCATTTATCATCTCATGTATGTGTGTGTGAGTGTGTGTGTCGTGTCCCAGCTGAGCTCTTGGATTAAATCACAAATCATGAAATGCTGTTAGTATTTCCTCCCAGACTGCTGCAATGACTAAACGCCTCCAGCTCAGTCTGGGCATGTATTCTCCGCAGCGGTCGGGAAATCTGCCTTGGCAAAAATTTGTCATTGCACATGAAGCACCGATATTCCTGTGGGTTCACAAAACTGTAAAGTTTGCTAAATGAAAGTCTGAAAAATAGCCTGTAATATTTCACAAAACTACCGACTGAAATAAAAAAGGAAATAAGGAAAAGCATAAAGATCCTCTTTAATGATTCTTAAAACTTTTGCATTACACTGTCTTACATTATAACAGTACCATGCAGTTACAGTTCATTTCTTTGGTTTGTATTTGTTTTGTATTTTTTAATTTTTAATG